AAGAGAATGGCGAGAAGGAGGATGAGCAGCAATCTGCGGATGATGCAGATTCCTCTCCTTCTATTCAGCCACCTGAGAAGCCTTCTGAAGAGAATTCTGTAGAGTCTGAAGGTGTGGATGCAACTACCACTGCTGAAAAGTCTGAATCCCCTGAGCCAGTTGAAAACGCTGCACCACTACCACTACTTGACGAAACTGTGCCTGAAAAGATTGAAGAGGACGAGACAAGTAGTAAAAGTGTTGAAAAAATGGATGACGGTAAAACAGCAGTTGAAAAGCCTGAAAACGAAGCAGAAGAGAAGGTTGAAAAGATGGACGTCGATGTCCCAACAGAAAAGATGAAAGAGGAAGAAGAAGAAGCTAAAGAAACGAAAACGGAAGTGAAAATGGAGGTCACCACCACCGCCACGGAGGTGGAGCCTGAGGAGCCAGCAGCCTACATCAGCACCAGACGAACTACGCGGTCCAAGTCTAGGCAGTCATCTTCCTCCTCTTCCTCTGCCCCCAAAGTATCCTCTGCTAGCGAATCGACGACGCTGGACCTGTCAAAGAGCGCCCTGACGAATGGCGTCAAAGAGGAGGAACAGTCGTCGCCAACAAACGGAGCATCATCAACAACATCATCATCCCGCAACCTGCGATCATCGTCATCATCATTAGAGGCGGCAAAAAAGCGCGACATCTCCGAGTGCTCAGTTGAGGACCTGTCGTTGCCAGCGCGGAAGCGGCGCAGTACCTCTTCCAATGTTTCAGAAAACGGCAGCAGAGCAGCTACTCAGAAGGTGGCCAATGGGACGATTGCCGAAGAAGACGGCGAGGAGGATGAGGACGAGGAGCTCAAGTCTGAGCTAGATGAGGGAGAAGGAGATCTGGTGATGCCGCCGACGCCCCCCGAAGAGGAGGCGGTGGACGATGAGGAGCGCATTGCCAAGCTGAAACTGATTGCCCGCCTCCGCCAGGAGCTGCTCAATGAGGACGCGAAGCTGGTACTGCTGAAGCGGATGCGCCAGTCGCAGCTGCTCCAGCAACAGCAACAACAGCAGCAGCAGCAACAGTCAGCCAAGGAGGCGGCAGCGGCGGCCCACAACAACATATCATCATCATCACATCCGAGCAACAGTCTGCTCAGTCAGCCCGGCGACAAGTCCACCCCTTCAGCGGCCGCCACAGCCGCCGCTGTCGCTTCCTCTCTTCTTTCCTCTGCGCTGCCCTCCTCCCTGGCCGGTCTCAATCTGAGCAACAACAATCTGCGGGACCTGAACGCTCTGGCANAACATCATCATCCCGCAACCTGCGATCATCGTCATCATCATTAGAGGCGGCAAAAAAGCGCGACATCTCCGAGTGCTCAGTTGAGGACCTGTCGTTGCCAGCGCGGAAGCGGCGCAGTACCTCTTCCAATGTTTCAGAAAACGGCAGCAGAGCAGCTACTCAGAAGGTGGCCAATGGGACGATTGCCGAAGAAGACGGCGAGGAGGATGAGGACGAGGAGCTCAAGTCTGAGCTAGATGAGGGAGAAGGAGATCTGGTGATGCCGCCGACGCCCCCCGAAGAGGAGGCGGTGGACGATGAGGAGCGCATTGCCAAGCTGAAACTGATTGCCCGCCTCCGCCAGGAGCTGCTCAATGAGGACGCGAAGCTGGTACTGCTGAAGCGGATGCGCCAGTCGCAGCTGCTCCAGCAACAGCAACAACAGCAGCAGCAGCAACAGTCAGCCAAGGAGGCGGCAGCGGCGGCCCACAACAACATATCATCATCATCACATCCGAGCAACAGTCTGCTCAGTCAGCCCGGCGACAAGTCCACCCCTTCAGCGGCCGCCACAGCCGCCGCTGTCGCTTCCTCTCTTCTTTCCTCTGCGCTGCCCTCCTCCCTGGCCGGTCTCAATCTGAGCAACAACAATCTGCGGGACCTGAACGCTCTGGCAAGTCACTACCAGCAATCGCTGGCTGCCGCATCGGGGGCGCTCAACTTTTCGAGAAAACACAGCAGTAGTGGTGGCCAGCTGGTGAACAACAACGCCGCCCACAGCAGCTCCCACGCGAGCAGTCTCTACGGGAAGTTGGGCGGCGCCAGCAGTGCTAGTCTGGCGATGAACCTTGCCCAGCTGCAGGCACAAGCTCAGCAGCAGGCGCAGGGCCTGCAGCAGCATCATCACGCCCACCAGCAGCCAGCTCAGGCCCACCAGTCGAGGACCTCAAAGGCCTCTGTGCTGGGCTCGCCCTTTGGCTCGTCGTCCCCAATGGGTCGCTCGCCCTACAATCACCTCAATGCCCACCTCTCGGCGCCGCCGCCCTCACTGCATGGAGCGAAGCAGCCGTCATCGCAGCAGCAGTCTCGCCTCTCATCCTCATCACCGTACGACAGTCCCAATTTGAACACTGCTCACTCCTCGCATCGTGGATCAGCATCACTCAGCAGTAGAAATAGTGGAAATTCAAACAGCCTGGCTGCCGCTTATGCCGATCTCTCGCGGCAGTCCACCGCTTCAAGCTCCAAATTCGCTCAGGTAATACCCCACATTTTAATATTTTCTGAGTTTAACATTCTTTTCTTTTCCATTCACTTTAGCATATTTCCCAAAGTGCTTCTCCCTCATCCTCCTCAGCCACAGCCGCCTCCACCTCACTTCATCAGATGAATGAACGAGGAAGCGGAAGCAGTGTGAACAACAGCAGCCAGCAGAACCATCAACAGGCTCTTCAGCAGCAGCAGCCTGACCCGATGCTGGCCCAGCGACAGGCGGCCAGCGTGAAGCAGGTGCTGCGGAAGCAGCTGGAGAAGATGACCCAGCCGAAGATGCCCCCGCCGGAGATGCACTTTGTGCCGAATCCGAACAACGCCGAGTTCATCTACTACATTGGCCTGGAGAAGGTGGTCGATTACCTGACGGGCAGCAACCAGCAGTTCAGTCCGCCGGAGCCCTTTGAGTGCGTCCAGTGCGGCACCGATTTTACGCCCGTCTGGAAGTGGAAGGACCGCTCCGACCCCAGCAAGCCCTCGGTCATCTGCGAGAGCTGCGTCTCCAAGAACATGAAGAAGACGGTGGTGGAGGAGCACACCAAGCGCATCAACACCTTCTCCAAGGCATACGAGGAGCTGGAGAAGCAGGTGGCTGCCACGGCGGCCGCCGTTGCCGCTGCCAGCTCGGCGGCNCGGCTGCAGTTGCCGCTGCCAGCTCGGCGGCGGCGAGGTCGTCGACGCCGCCTACAAACGCTGGCGCCTCCAGTTCACAGGCGGCACTGTCACCTTCGGTGGTGGGCAATGATCAGCGAGATCACCACTCGTCGCACCACTCTCAGCAACAGCAGCAGGCACATCACCACTCGTCCTCTTCCTCTTCGAGAAGGGACCGGTCGGAGAGGGAGGCGGCGCCGACGAGCAATTTGGCTTCGAATTCACATAGCGCCAGCCAGCACCACAGCTCATCGGGCAACTCCTCCTCCTCCGCCGCCGCCAGTGCAATGCACTCGCTCTTTGGCAGCAACGCCACTGCAGCCCAACTGGCTGCCGCCGCTGCCAATCTCGGACTGACGGGAGTTCTCGGTGGGGCTCATCAGCAGCAGCAACAACAGCAGCAACAGGCCCATCAGAACTCGCCCCTTTCTTTGGCGACGCAGCAGCTGGCCGCCATGGCCGCCTCCTTTATGCCGCAGTCGGCCAGCTCGGCCAGTTCTGCCCATCAGCAGCAGCAGATGAGCACTCCACCGGCGGCGCACAGCAGCTCGAGGCAATCTTCGGCGGCAGCAGCCGCCGCCGCTGCTTCCAACTCCTTTGCCTCGAACCTGGCTGCGGCTTTTTCGGCGAGCAACAACAGCAACGCCCAGGCGGCTGCCAACGCCCAGTCGGCGGCGGCCACACTAGCCCTCCTTCAACAGCTGCCGAAGATGAACTCGCAGGCGACACAGTCGCTGCTCTTTGCCCAGCAGCTGCAGGCGATGCAGGCGCTGACTGGTGGTGGCGGAGGAAGTGGTGGTGGCAGTTCCGGTGGCAACTCCGGCGCTGCCAACATCGCCTCCCTGCTCGCAGGCAGTGCCGGAAATGCCGGCAACATGGCCTCTCTTCTCGGCTTCAACAACCTCTTCTACTCAAGCATGCTGGCGGCGTCGCTAGCCTCGCAGCAGCAGCAGCAGCAGAAGAGTCATCACCAGCAACAGCAACATCAGCAGCAGTCATCCTCATCCTCGTCGGGCCTGAGTGACATGCAACGACAGCTGCTGCTGAACATGTTGCCCGGAATCGGCGGCGGTGGTCAGACATCTTCGGGTAATTCTCGAAGCAGTGGCGGCGGTCACCACGGCTCTTCTAGTACAAACAACAACAGCAACATGTCTCACCACAATTGGAAGTCATAAGGTGTGATGGTGATTGTTCCAACTGAACTGGCCTTAAATCATCGATCAACTCTTCTTTTACTACTTCAGCGTCTCAATCACTAGACTGTGCACGTATTCACACTACCTTCTCTCATCCTTTCTCATCAGCCTCGCTTGTCCTCCTCCTCCCTTTGCTCTCCTCCTCATCTTCTTCTATCAAACTTGGCTTTTATATTATTTTGTACACTACTTTCACTCTTTTCTTTTCAGACAGCAAAAAGCCTGTCCCCACCACCCACTGAAGAATTGTTGTTCAAACTGCATCACCTATTTTGCCGTCTCTTCTCCTTCTCCTTCTTTCGTCTCTCAACCGTGCAAACGCTGGACTTCATTTTCACACACACCCAAACTCACATCTAGTGCTTTTCTAAATGAATAACTCTATGTTTTTACCATTGCACATATGATTGATATATTATATAACTTCTGTTTAGCATGAATTAGAAATGATTTGTTTATATTCACCTATTACGACACTCTGGTATCCAACATCACACCACAAAACGCCCCTTAGTGCTTTTATATGCTCTCACATTTTAACCATCATTATCCTTTTACACACACACACACACACCCCAAACAAACAAAATCAGCTCAGAAGGAAGCATCGCAAATCATCCCTTTCCTTTTCTACTCTGTGCAGAGCGTTCTTCTTAACTCATCATCTGTTGTTCTGAATCATTCACTCCCTCTCCCTTCCTCCCCTTTCACCCAAAGCCTCAATTATGATG